TGATCACATCATCCGATGCTTCTAAATTTCACTCAGCTATCATTAGTGTTGTCAAAAACGGCTCGTTGTTCGCGAAAATGTCATTTTTGGCTCATTCAAAAGCTTGTGTTCGATATGTTCGCTAATTTAACGAGCCAAATATTAACACTTTTTTTGGGCTCGATACATAATTGACCCGAACACAAATAAAGATTTGTTCAGTCATGTTCGACTTATTTTTGCTCGAAATACTACTCATCAGTTATATACACACACACACACACAATTTAATTGACTACAGGGTAACAAAGATTTATAATCAATTAAAATTTTTAAATAAAAAATAGAATAAACTATATTAAGTTATATTGAAATAATGTTTTAATATAAACAATAAGATTTAAATCTTGCCCCAACCCTTAACATCCCATGACTGCGTGATTAGGGTTGCTTAAACGACTCTTCGATAGCGAACAGCTTGTGCTCGGCTCATTATTCAAATGAGCTGAACACGGACACACTTTTTGTGTTCAAAATTTAAATGAGCTAAACACAAACAATAATATTTTTTAATGAGCCGAACACGAGCTAAGCCTGGGCTCGCTCTTGTTCCGCTCGTTTACACCCCTAGCTATCATCGCCTGCTTGGCTATCACTACTTGCTTCTCCCCCTTCTTGGCAAGCATTGATCGAATTGTCAGCCCTCTTTGATGTGGCAACCCATTTCATTTCTGCTTGGTCAAGAGCCATGGACTCAAGGTAGGAAGCCTCCCATGCCTTGAGGTGGTAGCAATCAATTTTTTGATAGAGCTCTGGATGCTTAAGCACCATGAGAGACTTGGCAAAGACTCAAAACCAGATCACTTCCACAAACATAGATAAGTAGATTTCCGTCGACAACAAGCCATTGTACCAATCCACCTCCCAGTCGATTGTGGTAACCGAGTGTCAGAGTTGTTCCATATTCATGCACCTTGCTTTAATAGGGAACCCTTTTGACTGAAGAATCTTTCCTCTTCTTTTGATAGGAGGGAAGATGCGGAGGAGTTAATTCAAATTCATGCTCTTTCCCCTCTTGGTGGTACACCTCCTTTGGGACACTGTCTTCAGATCAGTTTCTGACTCAGTTCAGGCAGTAGAAGCAGACCGACAAGCCTTACTCCAAGTAGACAATCTAATAAATGTAACATCTAGGCAAGGCGTAGCCAACTAAGTTCTAGCCCTTTCTTCAGAAGTCTTTTCTTCAACTGCGATATCTTCTGGGCTTATAGGTGGCTCTTCGGGTTCTTGCTTACCCACAACTAAAGGAACTACGACTAGCAGGTAGAAGGTTGCCCTCGGCCTGGAACTGATTTTTGTAGACTTGATGTCTAAATAGGATGCATGAAGACTACCCCACTACAATCGATACCCCCCAATCAGAATATGCATCTCATAGACTTGATATGTGAATGAGATATTGGATAACGTCCACCACAATTTTGCTCGCGACATTAATTTGAACGACCTTTGACACTGTAGTAAAGGTTGAAACCCTTCCTAAGAATACCTGAAAATACATTGAAATATCTTTTTTGTGAATCTCATCCATTTTTGTGAATTTCTTCCCTTTTGATCAAACGTTAGTAGAGTGATGTGTATCACTCGAGAATGAAGCAGGGGCTGAGTTTCTTAGACTTGAAACCTGTATTGAATTGGACATCATTTCTCATAGATGACTCCAAATAGTTTTGTGCCGGAAGATTTACAGTGATGGAGTAATAAAGTATTCTCTTACTATTGCATGAAAAACCAATAAATAGACAAATAGAAGAAAAGTAGTTGGGGAGATACCATGATTTTTATGTGCAAAACCCTAGAGAGGGAAATAACTACTTGGCTTGGTCTAGTCAAAGTAATTCATTATGTGATTGTGAGTAAATAGGTCCACTCTTCTTTTAAAGTAGGAAAGATAAAATTACAAAAGTACAATAGTGGTTCAATATTAACAATTGCGATTGGACTACAATAAATGTAGTTCTTGGTAGTTGTAATAGTCTAAGCATGTTGTAAAGACCATAATTAAAAGTTGTTGTAGTAGTAGTAAGCCTTATATAACTTTATTGATAGTTTTAGGAGCATCAATTTATTATAAAGATTGTAATGGAGACTTTTAATGTTGTAAGTTGGCCAGGAAGGTCGCTGTTAGAAGCTACAATAATAGTGAGCCACATAGGCTGTAGTTTGAAGTTGGATGAGCTATGAGCCACATATGTTATAATGGTGAGTTGCTATAACATTAATTGTCCATAGAGACCATAACATAGAGCTCTAATGACAACAGTCGATTATACAAGGCGTAGTAGGGAACTGCACTAAAATTAATAGGTTACAGGGCAGAGTTTAGAGTTGCATGAACTGCAAGCCACGTAGGTTGTAGTTGGTCACATATGCCATAATGGTAAAATATTATAACGACCGTAGGCCATAGAGACCATAGTTAGGAGCTATAATAATGTCGTTAGGTCAATAGAGGCTGGAGTTGAGAGTTGTATGAGCTGTGAGCTACATGGGTTGCAGTTGGTCACAAAGGCTATAATTGTGAGCTGCAATAATATTAATATACCACATGTTAGAGTTGGGAGCTGTAATAACGGCTTTAGGCCACAAAGGCCGAAGTTGAGAGCTGCATGAGCTGTAAGCCATGTAAGCCATAGTTGGTTAGGCCATAACGGTGAGCTAAAATAACGTTCGTAGGCCACCTGGCCTAGAGTTGAAAGCTACGTGAGCTGTGAGCCACATAGGTTATAGTTGGTCACATGGGTCATATTAGTAGACTGCAATGACATCAATTGGCCATGTAGGCCATATTAGGGAGTTGTAAGAGTGTCAGTTGGCTATAAAAGATCATATGGGTAAGCTGTAAGGAAAGAACTTCAATAGGCTAAGAAAGTCAATGTATTCTGAGTACGGTGGATATAAGCCATTATCAGATCTTCAGTACAACATTATTCGTTACCTGTATTGAGGGTATGTTGTTATGCTGGATTTAGGGTCCATCGTTACACTGCATTTAGGTTGTGTCATTACACTATCTTTGGGGTGTGTCATTACACCGCAACGTGCATAATGACTCTACAAGGTGCTTCGTTGCAACATGCATCCTTACATCATAAGATCCATCAATGGTGATGAGCAAGGGGGGCTGATGGCGGTTCACGACGACTGACGAGAGGTTGTTGACAGCTATAGAAGCAATCACTAAGTTTTTGAATTCATAATGACTCTCGGATTACACTCATTCTTCTCCGGGTCCATCTCTCGCTCTAGCTCTTGGTCTAGGTCTTCTCTTTTCTTGAAGGGATTATGACTTGATTTATAAATTATGAGAGTGGTATCCACTGTAAATAAGACAAGAACCTGAACCACTCCATTAGACGACCTAAGACGATTCCTTTGATTGGATGATGTTTTGTGGATATTTGAGTGCCTTAATGATGTTGGAATTTGAGTGATCTCGGGCTCGTCAGATTCTTCCATAAACTTGTCTGGTCTGGAATTCATTTGACCCCCAATTGAACGCCCAAAGCTTTCAAAATTACTTTAATGGATTGATCTAAGCTTGATCTGACTTGGATTAAACAATTTTGATGTTATTGGGTCCGTCTCGTAGAGCCGATTAGTTTGACTATAAATTTATTAAAATTGAAGCTTTAGATGATTTTTAATTCTAATCTTAATATTTCCAACTAAAAAAATGTCTCGAGATTCTTACCAAACGACAAAATTCATTGATCACATTTCAGTTATAATAATTTGCTCAACCTCAAAATATACTCTTATTTCTCCCCAACTAATAAGTGATATTTATATACATTTTATTTAAAAAATGAGTAATACATTATAAAATATATGATTTGACTATTTTGGCCTTAGAAAAAAAACCATTTTCACATTAACCAAATTACTTTTTTTTTTTATATAGGAATTCAAATATACAAAAACTCAACTATTCCATTCATATATTTTACCCCAAAACTTCCCATTTCCTTACATATGACACCAACCCTTCTAGATAATGTTAAAGATATCACCCACCTCACCATTTTAGCCCTCTTTGTTGGTGAGATCCCATCCCAATTGCACCCCTTCTTCATGAGGATTCCTTTTCCACCGAGATTTCATCACAACTCAAATCCTTTTCGTCCTTTTCTAGTGACGCCTCATGACATATCATATATCATATATTTTAAATTTTAAAATTGCAAATAAAATAATTTTGTTTTTCAAAAATGTCCAAAACTCTTAACTAATCCTCATAGAAAAGCATCGGCACAGAAGCTCCCCCCGCATCCAAAACTCTTAACTAATCCTCATAGAAAAGCATCAGCACAGAAGACTCCCAGCTCCCCCCGCGCCCCGCAAAGGAATAATTACATACACCATCCAAAACTTGGATTTACAAATTAATCATCAAAAAAAATTTTTTTTTTTGAATTTTAGTTTTAACCGCAAATTTTAATATTCGAGTGATGTTAGGTAGGACTCATATACCATATAAGGGACAAATATTGGAATGAAGCAGAGCAGAACGTAGCGGAGCGGAAGAATCTGTCAAATCGGAAAAGTTTTGTTATGTGGATTGGGGTGCGGAGGCAACGCCCCGCAGTACGGTAAAGAAGTAATTTTATAATTACATATTGTACTTCATGACTATATATATGTATATACTCTATTGTAACTCTAAGGAGACTTGTACTCTTTTCTGAAATTGAAAGAAAGCTGTCACTCTGCTCACTATTGTAACTCTAAGGAGACTTGTACTCTTTTCTGGAATTGAAAGAAAGTTGTCACTCTGCTCACGAGAATGTAGACATCTTTGCCGAACCTCATTAAATCTCTGTATGTTCTTTCAGATTTGAGTCGATTTTTATTTTTCTTCGCTCTAATTTCTCAACAAGTGAGAATCTAAAATATAAATGAAAGAGAAAGATTGATTTGTAAATAATAAGTTTGGAGTGATCTTAATGTAATTACTTCTGCAATATAATGGACTCGCTCAACTTCTTGGAGGCTACTGGTCCGAAGAACCTGTAGCCCATGTCGGCGTCAGCTTCTCTCATCCAGGCCATATCACCCAAGTTCCAACTGAAGGCCGCGTTATCCTCCTCTTCTTATATAACAAGAATACATAGCGCTTGCTTCCCTTCCTCAGCCCTTCGATCTCCTATCAATCGATTCACTCATCGTTTTCTTAATCTCTGCCTACCTTCGCCGTCAACAATCGTCACTGATTCGATGGGAAGGGTGACAGAAACTGCAGTCTCTGACGAAGAATCGGCGATGGACGCCATCCAGAGACGGCTAATGTTCGAGGACGAGTAAGCTCGCTTTATTCATCTTTCTTGTGTCTTTTCTGTTGCTTGCTTCTGTGTTGAAATCCTTTTGAGGATGATCGTGCTGTGTTTGAATGTATTTATTTGTTTATTTTAGATCGGGTAGTGGTTGTGATTGGATTTTTTCATGGAAATATACGGTTTAATTTTTCATCATTTTTTTTAATGATAGATTGGTTTATTGGTTTCTTAATCAATACTGAATTCTTTTTAGTTTGTAAGTTGGCTCATTAGATCAAGGAAGCAATTACGGATTTTGGATTCCTTTGCCTTTTCAATAATGATGCAATGATTAACTTTAACCCTTCACGTGAACCACGTCACTCTTTTTAGAATTGGGAAAAGTGCATTTTGATTCATCCTTATTTCTAGAGTGTCGCATCTCCAGTTATAGCTGTTTGATTCCTGCGTTGGTAAAACTGTTGTAGAAAATCTAATCTATTAGATTTGGTGCTTGGAGTTTAGGAAATGCTTTTTTTCAAAGAAAATCTAATTTTTACTATACAGGACGGTGTGGTGCAATTTGAGCTTTAACCTTAAAGTGTTGCAGATAAGGCTTTTGTCGCATTTGCCTGGGACTGATATGTTGATTTTGGCTATAGAATTTGATTTCGTATTTATGAATTTGTCTGTTTCCAGTACAAGTTGCCGTTTAGTCCGCCTACTATACTTTCTATCAACTTTATTTTATTGGTTTCTCTTTTGCAGCTCAGTGTTTTATCACATTGTGATGAATACTACACTTGTTCATGTAATTTTCCAATTTATTTGTTGTGTCATACAAAAATTGACTTAGCTTTGTAAATTTTTTTGGACTTGAAAGTGGTGGAACTTCATTTGAGGTAATCTGGCTGTCTACTCAGTTTAGTATCAACAATTAGTTTCATGTCTTCCGTCCAACTTGTTGGGGGATAGATTCATGGAAAATAGATTCAAGAGATCCGAAGTAATACTTATAACAAAGCACACAAAACAAGAAATCACAAAAATTACAAAGAATACCAAGATTTAACGTGGAAAAATCCGACTATTGGAAAAAAACCATGAAGCCACACCACACCAAGAAGTTCACTATGAAAAATAAGGAGAATTATACAAATTACACAACACTTAAGCATCTCTACACTTTTGGAACTCATGGGTGCTCCTTCCTCTCCTTTGCACAAGTGACATTTCAAAATCCAACTTCAACGCACACAGATCCGATAGTGATGACATAAAGCCTTAAACTGCCCTAATGTGTTTACTGGCATCGAGGGTTCGCTATTGGGTGTTGCGACGCTCCCTCTTGGCAAGGGGTCGCTGACCTTCGAGGTTGGAATGTTGAGTGCTCTATTTTTGGATCTGGTTGGGCGCTACGACGCCCACTCTTGTCGTTGGAGCGTCGAGCGCTTAGGTTACAAGCATCGAGGCATTGCATGCAGGTGCTACCGTGCTCGGAACCAACACCCCACCCCCCCACAATCCTCGACAAACTAACCATCAAGCATGAATGGTGAAACTGAGAGCTCTAAGTGAACAATTGATCAATACAATCAAACTTCATATAATAACAATATTTCATTTGGAGATTGATTAAAATTAATCCTGCTCCTCCAAAACTGTAACATCTTTGTGGCTTAACCTTGTCTCAATCTTCTTAAAATCTAATTGAAACCGAACATAACCAAACATAGCCTCAATTTCTCTGATATTTTAGCCTTAGTTAACATGTTTGCAAGATTATGACCTTGTGTATTTTCTCCAAATATAATTGACAATCTTTTAAGAGTGAACCTATGAAATATACCTTAATTGAATGTGCTTCATCGTAGCATGAAATATGGTGTTATTTGTAGATGAATAACACTCGTACTTTTATTGCGAAACTTTGCATTCCCTTGCTACTTATCAAGTTCTGTCATAAAACCCTACAACCAAATTATTTTCTTGCTTGCCTCAATGATAGCAATAAATCCAGCTTTTGTAGTTGATAGAACAACTAGCTTCTGTAATCTTAAAATCCAACTCACAGTTTTGTTTCCCAAAGTAAATATTTAATATGTTGTACTTCTTCTACTGTTAATAACTAAGTTTTGTTTCCCAAAGTAAATATTTAATATGTTGTGCTTCTTCTACTGTTAATAACTACTGACAAATTTGAATGTACATGTCCTTGTAGATTAATCCCTACAATTTCATAACAAAGTGTCTTGTTGATTGTTTCTCTCAAGGATTTAAGAATCCACTTCATCGCCTCCTTATAATGTTTTCTTGAATGACTCATGTACTTGCTGATCACTCACACTGCATAGACAATATCTATCTTGTACATACCATCACATAAATCAAATATTTAACTGTTTAAGAATATTGAGTTTTTCTCATCTTTGTTTGCTCTACTTCAGACTTACGTGATTGTTCCTTAGATAGTTTAAAATGACCACCTAAGGGAGTACAAGTAGATTTTGTATTTATCATGTTGAATTTTTGTAGGATATTTTCAATATATTCTGCTTAAGACAATTTCAATGTATATGCACTCTTTTCTCTATTGATTCTCATACCATGTATTTTCTTGATTGGAGCTATATCTTTTATCTCTAACTCCCTTGATAATTGCTCATTCAAGTCTTTAATCTTCTCTATATCTGCTCCTGTAATCAACAGTGTCTACTTCAAATCATAAAGACTCTTTTTCAATTTACAAACCATGTTTTCTTTTTGTGGAACTTTATATTCCTGTGGTTACACCATATACATTTTTCCTTCTAAGTCACCATGTAAGAATGTTGTCTTTAAATCAATCTGCTCTAGATATTAATCTTTCTTAACTACTAGGCTCAACATAACTTTGATAGTTGTCATCTTCACTGCGAGAGAAAATATTTTAGTGTAACAACTCATTTTTAATGAAATCCTTCACAACAAATTTATCTTGTAGTGTTTGCTACCATCTGACTCTTCTTTTAGCCTGTAAATCCACATTTCTGCAGTGTTTTTTTTGTTATTTGATAGTTCTGTCAATTCTCATATCTAATTTGACATTAGTGATTGCATCTTATCATCCATGACAAACTCTCACTCTTTTGATTCTTCAACTTGAGTTGTCTAATCACAGTATTCTGATTCATTAGCATTAAATAGTACAAAGAAGAAGAATACCTCTTGCTAACTTTGAGAATAGATCCGGGGTATCTCTTATTGATGCAAAGAGGGGTATAAATATCCATTACATGATTTAAGAAAAGAAATAAAAACAAAATAAAGGAAAAAAGGAAAGCAAATAAAAGGAAATCAAAGCAATTATATAGAAATCTGCATATTAATATTCTAATATTCTAATACTCCCACTCAAGTTGAAGATAGATATCAGTCATGCTCAACTTAGATTCAATCTGCATATTAATATTCTAATATTCTAATACTCCGACTCAAGTTGAAGATAGATATCAGTCATGTTCAACTTAGATTTGAAATCCTTGAACAGTGGTCGAGGAAGGTTTTTTGTGAGAATGTTTGCTAACTAGCCACTAGATGACACAAACATAACACAAATTTTCCCAGACTCAAGTTTTTCCTTAATGAAGTGACAGTCAATCTCAACATGCTTAGTGCGATCATGCTAGATCGGGTTGTGAGCAATATTAATGACAACTTTGTTATCATAAAATAACTGTGGGGGTGTAGAGATTGTCATATGTAGTTTGTAGAGCATGATACATAACTAGGAGCTTCACAAAATTTCAGGGACATGTACCGATATTCAACTTTTGCATTGCTCCGAGCAATTGCATATTGCTTCTTGTTTTTTCACTTGACCACGTTTTCCCACACAAATGAGCAGTACCCCGAGGTTGATCGCCGATCATGAACAGACTCAACCCAATCCGCATCTATGTAAACTGCAATTGAACAAGAGGTGTGGTGCGAAAAAAGGAAAAACTTGAGCCCGGTGTGCCTTTTACATAGTGAAGAATCTGGTGGACAGCTTGGAGGTGGTGCTCATAAGGATCATGTATGAGTTGACTGACTATCTCAACTGCGTGCCATATGTGAGGGCGTGTATGAAGAAGGTAGATGAGTTTCCCCACAAGACGCTGGTAGTGAGTTATTTATAAGAATTGCATTGGGAACATCAATAAGTTTTTCATTGGGATCCATCAATACAACTACTGGTTTGCATAAGAGAGGATTGTTTTATGTTAAAAGGTCAATCACATAGTACTGCTCAGACAGACAAATACCCTGAGATGACCGAGCAACTTTCATGCCTAAGAAGTACCAAAGAGATCTCAAGTTCTTCATTTCAAAAGAAGCTGCAAGAATGTCTTTCAGAGACTCCAATGCAAGTAGATCATTATTTGCGAGAACAATATCATCAATATAGACGATAAAGATAGCCACCTGGTCGCTGTAAGAATGTTAGAAGAAGAGAGTGTGATCCATGACCCACTACCACCTTTCTGAATTTCTTGAACTATGCCCGTGATGATTACTTAATCCATAGAGGGATTTTTCGCAGTCTACATGCTTGCCCCTGGGAGACAGTGGAGTTAAAGCCTAGAGGAAGAGCATGTATACCTCCTCTGTAAGATCGTCATTCAGAAACACATTCTTAACATCAAGCTGGAATAAGGGCCAATCTAGATTCACTGCAAGAGATAAGAGAAATCGAGCGATGTTTAATTTAGCAACTGGAGTAACTGTTTTCTTATAATCAACTTCGTAGGTTTCTGGGTACCCTTAGGTGACCAACCGTGTCTTCTTGCATTCAAAGGATCTATCAGATTTAAACTCAATGCTAAAATCCCAATGGCACCTACTGCTTTTTGGCCCCGAGGAAGATCAACAATGTCCTAAGTATAACTCTGCTGAAGAGCGTTCATCTCCTCCATAATGACAACTTTCTAGACTTGATCTGCTAAGGCAACCTCAATAGTAGATGGAAGCTGATGATTGTTCAGGGCCATAGAAAAAGCTCTATAGGTTGGCGATAATCTGTGAGACATAGTATGCCTTGGGAAAGAGAGAGCCTTTCTGATTGTGCACCTTACTAGAGGAACTTTCTTATTTGGAGAGCAGTGCTGGGAATATCATCCTGAGGGGATTGAGGGATTTGCAAGGGGTTAGCAAGCTCCAGAGTAGGTGCAGCAGAACGAGTGTGTCGAGTGTAGACATGGAGAGAGGAGGATGTGCTGGTGACACCAAAGGGACAGAGGGCTCGTTGGTGATAGGAGAAATGGGTGGAACCAAAAGAACAGAGGATTCCTTAATGGTAGGTGACATGTGGGAACATTCGTAGGAGTGGGGTAAGGAACAGTGTCTAGGAACTGTAGTTCCCCCTCACTGGAGGCCGAGTTAGGAAAGTAGGGAGCACCTTCAAAAAATGAGACATTACTACTCATGTAGACCTTATTTATGGTAGGGTCAAAGCATTGATACCCCTTTTGAGTGGCAGAGTATTCGAAGAAACACATTTTATGGACCTGGTATCAAGTTTACTTAGAGTTGGTCTAAATAAAGGCCGTGCATCCAAAAGTTTTTGGATCTAAAGTGGAGAAGGCCTGACTGTTAAGAAAGCACGATCTTTAGATGACTAAAGGGTACAGACTTTGTGAATTTTTTAGGGAATTCTTTTGATGAGATTAGTGGCGGTAAGAATAACATCTTTTCAAAAATGTTTTAAGACATTAGATTGAAACATAATGCAGCGAGTAACATCAAGGAGATGTCGATTTTTTCTTTTGGCTACCCCATTTTGTCGAGGAGTGTCGTTACACGAGCTATGATGGAGGATACCCTCGCTCACCAAGAATTCTCCTAATATAGAGTTAAAAAATTTACGACCACTGTCAGTGTGAAGGAATTGAATAGAAATGAATTTGATCAAAATGAAGTTAGGGAAGCTTTTAAAAATGACAACAACTTCAAATTTATTTATCTTTTAAAATATAGACCCACGTCATTCGAGTGTGATCATCAATCAAAGTAAGAAACCATTATGTATTGATATAGTTGAGAGTGAGAAAGGGTCCCCAGAAGTGACCGTGAATAAGAGATAAAGGGGCAGAAGACATGTAATTGTAGGGTGGATAAGGAACCACCAGTGATGTTTAGCTAACTGATAGGTTTCACATTTAAAATTAGAAGAATTTTTATTAGTAAATATGAACACATACAAATGTTTTAGATACTGAAAACTATGATGACCCAAATAACAACATAACAATGTAATGGGACATTCAGAGGACTGTGCTAAACTGTAAGTACTGGGTGGAGTGACCTTGTTCTCCGTGTTTTTTTTGGAAGAAGTAAGCTTGTCTACCCGCTTAGCAGTTCCAATCATTCTCCTTGAATGATGATCCTGAAAGACACATATATCAAGGGAAAAATGTGCAATGTAATCAATGTTATATGTTAACTTACTGATAGATAAAATGTTACACTTCAACAAAAGTATATGTAACTTAGATTCCAAAGTTAGATCTATTGTCAAAACGATGAATCCTTTACCTGCAATAAAACTTTGGGACCCATCAGCAATTTTAGCAATATCTTTCTCTGTGTAAGGATAGTATGTTGAGAAAACTTGAGAGCTTGCA